TTCCATTAGAAGTTTCGGTAATGCCATCAGTTTTGGCTAATTCATTAGAAATTTGAGTAATGCCACCAGGTTTGACTGAGTCCATTAGAAATTTGAGTAATGCCATCAGGTTTGGCTGATTCCATTAGAAGTTTGAGTAATGCCACCAGGTTTGGCTGATACCATTAGAAGTTTCGGTAATGCCAAAAGGTTTGGCTAATCCTATTAAAAGTTTGAGTAATGCCACCAGGTTTGGCTGATTCCATTAGAAGTTTGAGTAATGCCATCAGTTTTGGCTGATTCCATTAGAAGTTTGAGTAATGCCATCAGGTTTGGTTGGTTCCATTAGAAGTTTCGGTAATGCCATCAGTTTTGGCTAATTCCATTAGAAATTTGAGTAATGCCACCAGGTTTGACTGAGTCCATTAGAAATTTGAGTAATGCCATCAGGTTTGGCTGATTCCATTAGAAGTTTGAGTAATGCCACCAGGTTTGGCTGATACCATTAGAAGTTTCGGTAATGCCAAAAGGTTTGGCCAATCCCATTAGAAGTTTGAGTAATGCCACCAGGTTTGGCTGATTCTATTAGAAATTTGAGTAATGCCACCAGGTTTGGCTGATTCCATTAGAAGTTTGAGTAATGCCATATGGTTTGGCTGTTTCCATTAGAAGTTTGAGTAATGCCACCAGTTTTGGCTGATTCCATTAGAAGTTTGAGTAATGCCATCAGGTTTGGCTGATTCCATTAGAAGTTTGAGTAATGCCATCAGGTTTGGCTAATTCCATTGAACTGATTGATTTATTACCATAAAATTAACTTATACCTTTTTGACAACTTGGATTATTATTGTTCCCCTTTTTCTTTGTACAGGTAATATTGGGCGGAGGTCGCCAAGAGTTTCTACCCAACTTCACCTCTGACCCAGAAGACAAAGGTAAATTTGGACAACGATTAGACGGGGTTAACTTGGCCGAAACCTGGTTGGCATCAAAACCCGACAACTCTAAATCATTCTTTGTCTGGAACGAAACGTCGTTTGATGACGTCAATCCAGAAAGCGCAGACTATCTTTTGGGTAAGTTCTTTTGTATTGTTGTGAATCAAACTGATCATATGTGTCTTAAATTGAGTTCGTTTGTTTATTCCCAGAAATTAAACTTCAATTTCAGAAAATATTTTCTTAATTTGCGGTAAACCATGCTATTTCTGAATTATTAAACAACCAGCCGTATGTCAGATTTCATCAAGAATCTGATTTTCTATTTTTATTTTCTCGTTTTAAACTGATCTAAGTGTTCTTTCCTAGTATAACACTTATAGAGTTCTGTATTGTTAGGATTGTTTGAGCGAAGTCATATGAACTACGAAGCAAACCGACCCAATGACACTGCCGGAGAGCCGTCTCTTGCCGACATGACAGAAAAGGCCATCAGAATGCTGAAGAAATACAATAAAGGATATTTCTTACTGGTTGAAGGTATTTTCGAATTATTGCTGAGTTCGTAATAAAACAGAGAGATAAAGATATGTTAACACAAATGGGTGATATTGTTATGACATAAATGGGTGATGTTGTTATGACATAAATGGGTGATATTGTTATGACACAAATGAGTGATATTGTTATGACACAAATGGGTGATATTGTTATGACATAATTGGGTGATATTGTTATGACATAAATGGGTGATATTGTTATGACATAAATGAGTGATGTTGTTATGACATAAATGGGTGATATTGTTAAGACATAAATGGGTGATATTCTTATGACATAAATGAGTGATATTGTTATGACATAAATGGGTGATGTTGTTATGACATAAATGGGTGATATTGTTAAGACATAAATGGGTGATATTGTTATGACATAAATGAGTGATGTTGTTATGACATAAATGGGTGATATTGTTATGACATAAATGAGTGATGTTGTTATGACATAAATGAGCGATATTGTTATGACATAAATGAGTGATATTGTTATGACATAAATGGGTGATATTGTTATGACACAAATGAGTGATATTGTTATGACATAAATGAGT